CTATACTATACTATACTACTATACTATACTATACTATACGATACTATACTACTATCTATACTATACTATACTATACTTACTATACGATACTATACTACTATACTATACTATACTATACTATACTAACTATACTATACTATACTATACTATACTATACTATACTATACTATACTATACTATACTATACTATACTATACTATACTGTACTGTACTATACTGTACTGTATTGTACTGTACTGTACTGTACTGTATTGTACTGTATTGTACTGTACTGTACTGTACTGTACTATACTGTACTATACTATACTATACTATACTATACTATATTATACTATACTATACTGTACTATACTGTACTATACTATACTATACTATATTATACTATACTGTACTATACTATACTATACTATTATACTATACTATACTATACTATACTATACTATACTATACTATACTACTATACTATACTATACTATACTAACTATACTATACTATACTATACTATACTATACTATACTATACTATACTATACTATCTATACTATACTATACTATTATACTATACTATACTTACTATACTATACTATACTATACTATCTAACTATACTATACTATACTATACTATACTATACTATACTATACTATATAATATATAAATATTTTTTTAAAAACTATATAATATATATATTTTCAAAAACTATATATTATATATATGTTTTTAAAATGTTTTCAAAAACTATATCCTATATATATTTTCAAAATGTTTTTAAAAACTATATATTATATATATATGTTTTCAAAACGTCTTTTTAAAAAACTATATATATTATATATATTTTTATAAAAAACTATATATTATATATAAAACCTCGGACGAAAATTAGTGACTACAACTGAGTTTAAAATCAAAATAGAGTTACATCTAAATACAAAGGGTCTACAATAGTACATGCCCTCTAAACTAAATCAATGTGTATTATGGCGCCTCGGCTACGCTGGAATATCTGGTGATGATAACGCTCATCGGACAACCTTTTAAGAACCTGTACATGGAATCACATTTCGAACGCGAAGCTTATGAGCTCAGTGTCTCACTAATAATTGTACTATACTACATGCATTCACTACATGTGGATTCTAGTGGCACAAATATAAAGATATGTAAATGATGATCTAACAAGTGGATATAGGCATCAGGATGCGACTGAGGGTTCTACATCTCGAAGCTCACACACTCATATAGCCTTTCTAAAATACCCTTGGGTAATTGGGTAAGATCAGGAGCTACATCAAAAACATACACATGGCCAACTTACTCCGTCGAGTTTTGTGGCATCTGCATGTAACTGGTTACTAAATACCTTGGCACTGACTGAGATATCCAATTGTACGATAGTATATGCTAAAGTAAATAAGGTTAGTTTTATGTCATCCTAAATGTTTTTATTGTTTCTAGGTGTCCTGAGATTATTACTATTCTCACTTGTAGTTTTATTTCATTGCGTCCTGATGTTATTGGGTCCCTCAGTTTTAACCATTAAAACCTTTGGGTTTCTTACCCAAAAATGTTCACGAGTATCGATACTAAGCTCCTTAATATCGATACTGGCATCTGGGTATCGATACTACTAACTAATTGAAGGCTGATAACAAAGGGTTGGTATTGATACTCTAGTTAAAGTATCAATACTAAATTTGGCTTCAATATTTTGAAAAACACCTAAGTATCGATACCCCTATTGGGGAGTATCGATACTCTACCCTTGGTATCGATGCTCATGGGAGTATCGATACCAATTTGGCTACTGGTATCTGCTAAGTGAACTTAGTATCGATACCACCCTGTGTGTATTAATACCTTACCTATAATATCGATACCTATTGCATGAGTATTGATACTTCTAGTCCAAAATCCCTTTATTTTTAACACCTGTCCAGTACCGATACTCATGCCCATAAATACCTTGTTTGGGGCACGAAAATGTCTCCTCAACCCTCCCAAACATCCTACTAAGGTCCTCAAATGCTATTAAAATTTTATGTATGAATATAAGTGTCATAAAAGGTTCATAAACATATTGGAAAATATCTATCATGAACATGCTTCATACCTCATATAACATATCAAAACATATCTAATAACCTACATGTGGTAAAGTTGAGTTAGAAGTGAGTTATCTTAATATCCTAATTTACTGGAAATACCCAAGGTTCAACCAAGAGTGAGCTTATCCTTTCCCCTAGCTTTGGAGTTTTCTCCAACTTCTCTCACTAGACAAGAATCAAGCATAAGTGTCACTAATGTTTTTCAGAAACTTAGAAAGGAGTTTAGAGTGTTTCTTGAGGTTTGCATCTCTAAAAAACGAGCTGAAATCACCTAGGTTTTTAAAACTCCCACTAAACTCATATTTGGGAGCTATAACTAAAACTTGCAAAATCAAACTTAAAATAAAACTTGAGATGAGAAGGTTATGATTCTTACCTTTTAAGTACTGGTCTAAGCTTCCAAGTCTATAAAGTTTCAATATTTGACAAAGTTCTTGGAGATGAAAAAAAGGATGAAGAAAAAAGAAAGAAGAAGACAATTTATGGGAGAGAAAAAGAGGCGCCAGGCGTGTGACCTCACAAACATCTAAAAGATTCATCCTTTCCAATTTAAAATGGTTAAACTGCTCCCTTAGTCCTTCAAATTTGAGTCTTAGCTCAAAATCTCATTTTGTTAACACATGTTGGGCCAATCCAAGCCCAAACCCAAAGCTCTCTTGGTCCAAATCTTCCTACAATGATAATGGATTTATCTAAACCCACTCGAGTTAACTCGAAGCTATTAACTCAGAATTTGGGGCGTTACAAAATGATCATACTCATGATATTTACACTATTTGAATCTGAAACCATAAAGAATAACGATAACTCATTCACCATCTAGATCACTTAGTTCGTACTAAATATTTATTTTAACGCTTAAACTATAAATATATAATATTCCAGATCTTTATTATCATAAGATCAATGTGTTAATCTAAGTTAAAAATTTCTTTATTTAATAAAAATATGACACACGATATTTATAGAAAATAAAATATTTAATTCTAAATTGATTTCTAAAGTTCTTAACATTTGGTTAATAAAAAACAATATTTGGGAAATATCTAAAATTTTAATTTTTTATAATAATATTTCTAAAAAAATAAAATTCATGATTTTTATCATTTTATGGGCTAAATTAGTGTTTCTTTATTTATTTATTTATTTAATATTTCTTTTCATGTTAAATTATGAAGTAGGTTTCATTAGTTTTCAACACGTACCGTTATTATTATTTAATTAAAACCCCACCTTACTACCTGCAGACAAATCCTACCAAAAAAATTAATTTGTAAACACTAATAAATTAAGATGTTATAACAATAATGATAAATTAAACTATATTAGAAGTCTATGTATTATATTTAAAAATTTATTTTATTTAAAAAAATTGATCTATGTAGCATTAAAAATATTTTAATCTTAATATTATATCTAAAAAATTATTTTATTTTTTCTATTATGAAAAAATACTTTAGTCTTTATGCGTTTAAAAAGGTAACATTTTAGTTTACAACATTAAACTTATTGTTAGTTGATTTAAATATTTTGATTTAAATACAGTTGAGGTCCTCTCAATTTTGAATCCACGTAAACTAATATTCTCAAAAATATTTTCATAAGTTTTTGTTAAAATTAATCCATACTGTAACTCTAAACTCCATTATTTTCACTTATAGCAATATTACAGTTACAAAATAAAATATAAAAATGTTTAATTAAAAAATGCACATTGAATTTAAATGAGGTTTTCATAATTATGAAAAATATTATAAAATTATGTAAACTTTTTTATTTTAATAGTTAGACAAGTGTCGAGTATCGACAGGGGCGAAGCTATAAAATTTATTTTTGAGTATCAAATTTTAAAAAATATTTTGGGTGTCAATAAATTTATTTTAGAATGTGAAATTTAAAAGAAATTTATTTTACGGTATTAAATTTATAAAGATTTTTCTTCAAAAAAATTTATATTAAATGTATAAATTGATCCCGCCAGTGTGTACCGAGAAAAAACTATTAATACCATGACATATTAATCTTAATTTCTCATTTTAAAAATGTATATTAAATGAATTAACTCTTCTTTTGTTATGAAGTAACAATTTACTTAGTTTCAAAATTATTAGAAACTTAAAGAGTGTTAAACTAAAATATTTAACTAATTATAACTTTAAAATTTTGGACTAAAATGTTAACTTTTCAAACGTAAATGGGCTAAGGTGTTGTTTTTTTATAGTAGAGAGATTAAAATGAACTTTTAAGTATAATACATGGACCGATATATTATTTTTGAGGTAAATACAATGTAATATATATTCAAATACGACTCTTAACTATTTGACTTTGAACGCTCACACTTCTGATATTCTTAGTGTTCAAACCCAAGACCTTGAGGAATAACAAAAATTCTTGTATAACCACCGATATCTGGTCTATTGATCGCTTAATTCAGATCGGGTACTACAAAGACAATGACGACTCTCTCAACCCAGTTTGTTCCATTTGCAATCACCAGGATTCGAACTTCTAACCTTGCTTAAGTGATATAGTGTCTCATCCTACTAGACTAACTGATTGTTGATAATAACAACAATTCTTTTTTCATTGAGATTAAAATAAATTTTTAAATATAATACATGTACTTATAATAGATTTTAACCATAATAATTATAATTAAATTAAGATTTGAGTATTTGATCAATAGAATTAATTAATTTTAATGGTGTGTTTTAAATAATAGTATTTGATGAGGGGATTATAATGATTAATCTTAGATTGGCAGGCTTTAGGCCTTGTGTTTTCCCATTTGCTAGTTTTTGTTAGGTGGTAGCGTCAACTGCCCAGATAGTCCCACCCACGTTGGAGCCTACTCATCACTCATCACGTTGGAGTGTTTTTGGTAAAATATCCAAAAAAGAAAGTGATATGGAAGGGAACTCTGGAGGCAGCGGTGGCGGCAGCGGCAGCGGCGGAGCAGACAGAGGAGGAGGCGGAGGAGAAAGAGGAGGAAACGATGTGGAGCTTCTTTGCAAAACACTCCAGGTAGAACACAAGCTGTTCTATTTCGATCTCAAGGAGAACCCACGCGGTCGTTATCTGAAAATCTCGGAAAAGACATCGGCCACCAGGTCAACCATCATCGTACCTTCCTCCGGCATCTCCTGGTTCCTCGATCTCTTCAATTATTACGTCAACTCCGACGATCACGACCTCTTCAGCAAGGAATTGCAGCTCGACAGTAAAGTCTTTTACTTCGACATTGGCGAGAACCGGAGGGGTCGTTTCTTGAAGGTACTCTCCTTATTATTAGTATTATCGTCACTCTACTACTTCCATTTCTCTCTATCCTTTTGGAATTTATTTTCCTGTATGTGATGTCGAGTTTTAGTAAAATTGGTTTAGGGGATCGGATCTCTTTGTGAATTGGATGATGATGTAGAATGACATTTTTTTTTGCTATGAATTATGATGTCAGAAAATAACTAAGCCTTAGCTGTACATCACTTCGAATGTTAGGTTTTTTTCTTATTGGTCTTCAATCAGATATTGTAAGCATTGACCATTCCGGCTATCAAGAACCCTAGCCATCTTGTAATTTATCATGGTGACTAATATATCTTGTCTTTTGTCATCGAAAGTTTCCGTTTATTGTTTCTTTTTTCTCAAGTAATTGATGAAGAGCGACTGTGTCTGTGTCTTCCCTTAAATTCAACCTGTTCTTAGCTCAAAAAAGGAGGTGTATGAACAAGAACTCATTACAATAACTGGCCTTGGTCTTAGACTTGGAGAATGAGAAGACGTGAATTAGGAAGTTTGACTTGATTAGAGCGACTTGCTTAAAGCGGGTTTTATAGGATATCGGCACCCAACAATTCAAATGCACATCGATAATATTCTCAGAGCAGATTCTTTAAACATTTTTCGTGTTTGAGCTGGAGCCATAGCATTGGATTCACTAATTGGTCCTATGGTGAAAAACCTTTGACCTCAGATGAATTAATTTTAATATTCCTTGAGACATTGAATATTCTAACTGCTTTTTGCATGAGATCTACCTTGTTTCTTGCTAATGAAGCTTCTTTTTCATACCTTCAGTTTAAAGGTGTGTTGCTGCTCCAAAGGGTTCCTTTATGAGAATGATACCGGCTCCTCCAATTCAGTATTCTTTGTCTGAAATGTCATGTTTGATTCTGCCAGTCATCTAGCGTCAATTGATGCTTTTATTTCCAGGCAACAAAAATGCTTTCCTGAGACTCCTAAAATCTATTTTCAATCACCAGATTTTGATCTATATTTACTTCGTTGTGTATGTGGCTGTCCTTGGATCAGCTTCTTTTCTGTTCCTCCAAGTAAATAGCATATTGACCTGAGCATTTTCCTTCCTTAGAATGGTATTAGCTTCTCTAATTAGATACTCATCTCCAAAGCCTGACCTTTGGTGCTTGGTTCTCTCACCCTTTTCTGCTATCATTTATAGCTTTGTTTCAGAGATCACAATGCCGAAGGTTCAGATATCTAGTCTCTATCTCTCTGGTTTTGGTTTTAGTTCCTTTGCAGTATTCTGGCTGCTTGATTTGGTTTGGGGGGAGGGGGATGAAAAGCTAACTTTGCTTGCTTGAACTTTGCAAATCAACTTGTAGATTGTTGATTATTGCTCAAAATTGGGACTTGTATTTTCCAATTTTTTCCTTCCAAAACTCTGCTAGTCATATCATAATTACAGGAGACAGTTGGACGGGTTGGGTTAGGTTTGTATTTAGTCAGTTTTGGTTTTCGATTCTAGTTCTTTTGAGGTTATAAGTTGGTAAAATTCTGGTTTTTGCCTTTGAGTCAATTCTTTTTGGGTTCTGAAGGCCTTATTTTAGGGGGTTGATCTGCACGTTGATATATGTTGGATTTGTATGAAACACAAATTCTTAAAGGACAATGAAGAACAAGAGGTTTTTCATTTCAGAATTTGAACATTCATATTTAGTGGAGAAATAAATAAATATCCAGCAAATCTCTTGAAAGAGAGAAGAAACTGAACTTGAGCGTAATCAGATCATTCTAATAAATTCTTGTTGAAACTTTGTAAAACCTGGTGGTTATTGTGTTTTTTCTTTCAAATAATGCTGTAAACAGAAGTGCATGCTTGTGAGCACAAATATATTGAAAACAATTTTGTGTTTGCGAGCACAAACATATTGAAAACAACTTGACCATGCTTGTGAGCTTGTAGTGCCTTTGATTTCTTTTATTGCAAGTAGAACTGTATCTTGTTTTTGATTCTTTGCATTAACTTGGAGTTTTTCGAACATGGGAAAATGCAGAAGTTCTGAGTTTTCCATCTTCTTTTAATAGAACTATTTCTCTAAAGAAAGTATCTTTGAAGGTGTCTGAAGCATCTGTCAGCAGAAACCGCAGTACCATTATTGTTCCAGCAGGAAGTACCATGGTTGAAGGGTGGGCAGCCTTCAGGAACATATTGGCAGATGTCAACGAGGCATCAAGGCTTTTCATATTGCCAAATCAGGTCTCTTCGTGTTACATTCCTGTGCTCCTCCCTTTCCAGTTTTATGCTGTTATACATGAATTGCATATTTAGTTTCATTTAATCTGTCAATCTGATTGTTTCTGTGTTTATATGGATTTTCTGAAGCAGCAAAGTTCTGAACCTTCAGAACACCTTGTTGGCCTTTCAGATGATGTCGGGGCTGGCTTCATATCTGGACACAACCAGCCTACCTCAGATTCTGATTTGAATGTAGATAGATCAGTTGAATTGCCAACACAAGATGAAATCAGTAACATGGGGGTTTCAAAAGTTATCAGAGTTGATCAGAAGAGGTTTTTCTTTGATCTCGGGAGCAACAACAGAGGACATTTCTTGAGGATATCTGAAGTACTCTCCACCTTCAACTTTCGTTCTTTTCCTTTCATATTATAATATATATATATATATGTATGTGTATATATACGAGAAATGAGATGAAAGTGCAGGCATGGAGTATATTGGATGATACTTGATAATAGGATGGTTCAAAATTGCAGGTTGCAGGTTCTGACCGGTCTTCCATCATTCTCCCACTGTCGGGATTAAAGCAATTCCACGAAATAGTGGGTCATTTTGTGGAGATAACAAAGGATCGCATCGAAGGAATGATCGGTGCAAATGTTCGAACAGTGGATCCAACTCAAAGGTGAATGTCTGCCAGTTTAACACGGTGAAATTGGTAAAATAAATAATTGTGATTCTGTCGAGCTTGGTTTACGGCCTTTTATTAGTTGTTTGATAAGAGATGCAATTGTGCTGTGGTTGCTTGTGCTCTGCTCTGTTATTTTCATCCCACCTGCCCTCATTCAAGGCTTGGAAATAATCCGATTTTTATCTGTTTGATTAACAGAGAAATATTGGAGATATAAATTGTGAAGTTTAGTTTCATAGGAAATAATGGATATATATAAGCTTTTGGATAAATTGTAATTTTACCCTCTCAATAATGCTTACCTTTTTCATGTGCGCTTTTTTTTTTAGAATCAAACACTGCTTGAATGTATTAATATTAAACTTGAAACTGTTGCATTGTAGTTTTGTTTTTTGTTCATGTTTGTTTTGTGATTCTAATAAATTCAGATTCGAGGCAGTTTCAGATCAAGTCATTATATTTTTGAGCCATTTCAAGTTCTGGTTATTTTATTTCGAGTTATTCAAATGACTTGTTTGGATTCTTTTAAATTTAGATTGATATCGAAAGATTTCAACCCCAAAAAGAGAACAAGTTTAACGACAGCATATTGTAAGGATGGGAATACATTCAAATTAAATTGCCGAAACTTGTAGTTCTTAATTTTTTTAAATAACTGATCCACAATTTGTTCTCCCTCTCTTCTTAGATTCCTATATTTGTTTATGAAGCCGGATCACAATTATAATTGAACTTCCGATGGAAATACCATTAGTTGCAACCTTATCAACTGTACTGTTTCTCCGGCCTTGGCGAGTTTGCCACGACGCCACAAACCTTTGCAGAATCTGGCATGTTGTACTCGTCTCTGATGGATTTTTCTGGGGAAAGGACACTTATATATAGTTGCTGTCCGAGGTAACGTCTATCCCATATCTCGGACCCAATGTTCCACATTCCACAGTTGTCGGTCGTCATAAGGATAGCAGCCCAAGAATGGGGGAAAACTTGGATCATTTGTCGGCTCACCGCGTCGAGAAGGTTGTAATTCATCCTCTTCTCCGGACTCCATGTCCCTGTCTCAACGCTGCGAGTGATGGGGTGCCAAAAGCATAGTATTAAAGTCTGAATAAACCGGTATGAACATATTTAGGTAGATACTACACTTACGCCACAGCAAAAAATGAATAGCCAGACACATGCCAAGACTGAATGGTTTTTTTGCGGTTCTCGAAGATGATCTCGATGAAGTTTTTGAATGTCATTTTGAGAACAATCGGTTCCAAACGGACTTGTGTGATCTCTTCCGGTGGTTCATCCTTAATGGTGTCATACTTGAAAACCTTGTCTGCAACTTTATAGTACTCCGCGAGTTTCAGCGGAGTGGTTGGTTCGACAAAGGATGCCCCATTGATAGCATATTTAAGCTTGCCGTCTACTTTATTCGCGGTGTTAGCTAGCCTGATGGTACGGGTGATGTTAATGGCACCATATTTGTATGACCCTTGAGGGTTAAGCCTAGCAGCGCTAGCGGTAAGGTTCCAACGGAAGGTACGAAATTGGTTGAACGCCCAAGCCCAACCCCCGTGAGGTGGTGGAGGTACCTTAGCTGAGGTCACCCCCTTGCCATTTTTGTAGCGGATGATGCCAGTGACCGTAATCTCTCGTTTCGTGAACCGGGAAGACGCCAGAATATAATAATCCATCGGTTCTTGGTCCGCTGTTACAAGCACACCAAAGCACTGTCCCAAAGCACTGTCCAACATGCACATCAAGGGACTCGTATTCATTTTGGATTATGTGAGCACCTTCCATCTCAACTAGTTTCATTTTATGTCCTTGGAACCTAATATTAAGAGATGTCTTAAGCCCTGCATTGCAAATCCTGTACTTGTAAGTCTTGCCAGCCTCCATGGTGAAGAGAGGAGTGTCCTTGCCGTTTCCTTTTCCGACTTTCCCATTAATGTGGACTCCGTCGCATCTTCCGAGATTGCGACCACTATCTAATATTTTCTTGAGGGTCTTGTGTCCTTTGCCGAACCAATCCCCGGCCATGATAGTGAAATCATCTGCGGGATCATCATATGGAACAGGAATAAGATGACGACTGTTTATACGGAGGCCACCAAACCCCCCTGCCGCCTTATGCATACCGGTCACTGGAAAATACATGTAGGAGCCAATTTGGTCCTTGACCTGGAAATGATATGTGTAATTAGTCCCAGGGAGGATAGGACAAGTTGTTCCCAGCACACCATCCTGCCATGCCTGCAATAAAATTATTCCCACTTCCAAAATTGAACTTAAGTCCATTAAATAATCGAATCCGAATTCCAAACTGTAGTGTTTAGTGTTTACCATGTGAAAAGAAGGGGCTCGTCAAGGTTGTTGAAGACACTGATCACAACGTTGTTAGTAGTCGAGTTGATATTCGGTCTCGGAAATTCGCCGTTGATAAGAATGCCTTGCTGGGGTACACCGAGGGGAGAAATGGTGCCGTAGGAGACGTTCCAAGTGAAGAACAGGTACGGATCTTTGCCACGGACCACCGTCGTCGATACGGCCGAGAGACATATCAAAAACATGAACATCACTCCACCCATTGTTTCTCTTTGCTTTGCTTTGCTTTGTTTATTGATCAGTTCATTTGTGAAGTCCATTTTTATACAAAGGAAATCGGACATGCAAAAGCATTGATTTCCAGTCTAAACTCCCGCAAATTACTCTATACTCTTCTATGTCTTACATCCTTATGTTGCGCCCTTCCTTTCCTTCAGTCATATGTTCTTCAATGCAGGCTATTTTTGCACTCTTATTAATCTTACCTTGCAAAACCTTTTTTTCATATTAATTTAATTATTTATTTATTTAATAGTGTAAATAATTTAATATTAAATATTTCAAATAATTATTTTGATTTATAAGAAACTATTTCAAATGAATTAGATATATATATATATATATATATATATATTAAACTGATGCATAAAGATTATGATGAATGGCAAGAGAGTTCATCATCATTTGTCGGATGATGCAAGCTGAGGTATTTATGGAGCTCAGAATCATACTACGAATATGAGCATGGCTAAATGGTGGTTCGGATATTGGAAAACTAATGGAGTATGCTCTGTGTTGGAAGTTGAATTATGGGATATATATATATATATAGGTTTGTCTACTACATGGAGTTTAAATGCAGCTCAGGTTACAGTAGAAATGGATAGCAAAGATGTCGACTCGTTAGTGAATATTAATGTGAAAACCGGCACTTCGGATTATTATCGATTCATGAAACCCCTTATGGATGTCATCAAAGAGCTTCATTTTAATAGTCAATAACAGTCACATCAGGTACGTCGTTTGTTTTATAATGACAGATCAATTACACTATTAGTTTAGTAATGACACATGATGATCATTTGAGTAGTTTACTCAAATAAATAACACAGAGAACAAATACTCGAACGTGTTGAAGAGAATGAAGAATGGAAAATGTGAATATAATGCCTTTGAACTTAGTTTGATATCTCAAGGTACACTTATTCTAAAACTCCTGTTTTCAATCACCCTAGAAATTTAAATAAGACATCATTGAAGATTATGATTTGAAATCCACTTCAAAATTTGTATAACTGGTGAGAACCGACCAAAAAACGAGCGCTTTTATTCGATGCGATCAACCTACTCCACCGTTACTCCTCCGAGGACACTCTACAACCCTATTTTCTTCTCAGCCTTCTGAATCTGGTTGAGGAATATCCAAGTCATCTGCATAAGACAACAACCGGTCACCAGAATATAATTAAATGTTCAAGGTTGAACTCGAGAAACTATATACGGAGAAGAATAAAGTAATTACCATGACGTGCGGAGCAATTCTAACGCAATACACAGGGAACCCTGTGTAAAATTTGAATGGTCCTCCAGCTTTGAGGGTTTTCATAGCACAGTCTAAAGAGCCAGTGTATGGATACTTTCCCGAGGCATCAGGTTGCATTTTCTGGATTTGTGTTTTCACATAATCGAACGGCAAACTGCAAGCTGCGGCAAAGAAACCCGAAATGGTACTCGCACCTGCAACAAAGAACGAAAAAAGGAACATTAATCAATACGGAAAAAGAGACGTATCTTTGCTCAAAGATGTAAACGCCGGCTAATAGGTTTTAGAATTAGTAATGCATGCCAACCAATGGTCTTAAGAATTGGGAAACACATGATTATATAGTACTTCATAATAGCTTCATTAGACTGTACATCTTTTGTAATAACTTCTAATGATTCTGCTACTTGACTATACCAACAAAGTATCAGTGAGGAATAAGACACGAATTGTTCATGCAACAAATTTAGAACATATGAGAGATTTGTGAAAGACATTTTTCATAGTTAAATTTCCATGGTAGTTGCTACTAAGAAAGACTCTTACCAACCACAGTAGCAGCTTCTCCTAAGCCAAGGTTATCCTTGAAAAACTCAACACTTTGATCGTATGAGGCAAGCATTCCCATGTTCAATGCCATGGCTCTTACTACCGTAGGGCCTGCACCTTTCCAAAGTGCCAAAACCCCTTCATCCGCAACAATACGATAGAGAGCATGGAATGCATTAGAGTAATTTCGGCGCTGAGCAGCTGGCAAAGTGGCATCAGCCTGCATACGGATAAGTGCCAAATCAGCTGGACTGCCAACACAGGCCCCAATAGCACCAGCAGTCAGACCACACAAAGCCTTCTGGTATAGAGGTAAGGGCTTCCCATCATTGGCTTCAATTGCTTTGTTTGTCAGCATCCTATAAAAAAAATGGAAATAATTCAAAAGCTGAACCAGAACTGAATAGATTATCCGAGTTTAGTCTCAAAAGCAAACCACATCATACATAAGCAGAGAAAAAGGAAAATGTTAACAAGGTTAAGCTTCAGAATCAAAATATCAATCATCCTAACAAAAAAAAACGAAGTATCTCAAAATGTATAACAAAGTCACAGAAAGGATTGCAATGGCACTCACTTGAATGATCCCAGTCGAGCAGTAGTGTATGTAGCTTGCCTGAGAAGTCCGGCTGATAGCCCCTGTCAAACAATTTACAAGTGAGACAAACAACTTGTAGAAAAACTGAAACATCTTATTTCCAATTAGAACATCAAGCGGGTTCTTTTTTTCGGCTTTCGAAAATCTGAAGTACAAATTCAACAAGATAAAGCCACTATATCTATGTATGAGCTATTCTATGTCGAAGGCCTTACATTGAAATAATTTCAGAGTTTTCCCTGATTTAGTCCTTGTCAACAAACAATTAGAATTATTTTGCCTCTTAAAGAACAGATCCAG